TGTGTGTGTGTGTCTGGTATGGTAACTTGCAGGGATCAGGGCATTGATCGCTAGCGGTCTCTTGCTTAATTAGGGCCTACTTGCCTGGGAAATTATAATTTTTAATTTGGTTTCTTTTTTACTCTTGTTGGATACACACACACACACACACACACACACACACACACACACACACACACACACACATACATGAACGCATGCACACAAGCTTTCTCAGTGGTCTAGTGGTAGAGTGTCCACCCTGAGATCAGGGTTCGATTCCTGGTCGGGTCATACCAAAGACTTTGAAAAAATGGGACCTAATGCCTCCCTGCTTGACACTCAGCATTAAGGGGTTGGATTGGGGGGTTAAACCACCAAATAATTCCCGAGCGCGGCTGTGTCTGCAGCTCACCGCTCCCCCAGGGGATGGGTCGAATGCAGAGAACACACACACTGTGTGTGTGACAACTAATGGGACTTTAACTTTAACTTAAAAACAGAAACGCTAGGGAAACATGTCTATCTTTATTGAGGTAAATCACTTTTGCTTTGTTTGTTTTGTTGTCAGCAGTTTTTTTAAATTTATTTTCTGTCTGACCTTGCAGCCTGAAATACAGAAAAAGAGTTTCCTGTGTGTGTTGTGCTAATCACAATAATGATATTCCTCTTATTGTACGGGACCAAAGGTGTGAATGTAAATACTGGAAAAATACTCCATAAAATAAAGAAATTCACCTTAAATGATTTTAACCTTTCTGTGACTCATATGTACTCTTTTATCAATCAATCAATCAATCAATCAATCAATCAATCAATCAATCAATCAATCAATCAATCAATCAAACCTGTATTTATAAAGGGTTAAATCATGTTATTTTTACTAAAACAAACAGCGGGTTCAACATAACCAGCTGAATCGAACTTTTGTTAAGAGGTGAAGGAGAAGTTAAGCAGGAGAAGTGAATGGGAGCTAAAGATAAATGAATACTGGTGGTGACGTAGCCATGATGGATGAAGATGGACAATAAGAGACGTGAAAGGACAGCGCTAGACAACGGACGACCTGAAAGAGGAGTGATGATTTGGATGGAACGGATCAAGTTTTCCTAACCTCCCACATCAGTCTGGCTAATCAGCCTTTTCTCATAAATAGACATCCCTTCTGATCACACTGAACAGAAAAAATCACTTCCACCTGTTTTTATTTCATCAGTGGAAAATGGTTGCAACCATCAGACCTGTCACAGATCTGTTCCTGCTTCGAGTGACCCCAGACGGGGTCTTCTTTCTGATGCTCTGACTAAATACACTCCCAGCTTTGGGTTTTATAACTCTGTCATCCCCTTCATTCTAGATTTATAAAAGTTAAGATTAAAATGTCTGATAAAATTTTACATGAAGCACATCATTCGTTCAATCAGAGTTTGGGATTAGAAACTTAACCCCATGTGTAGACATTAACCTCCACATTATAATAGTTTATTCTCTTAAACTTACACTAATTTTTATTATTTGGACACTTTATATTGACTTTAAGTCTAAATTTTTTCTTTTCCTTTCTTTTATGTGGAAGTTTGTCAAAAATTTTATAAAATTTGTTTGTTCATGTTTATGAGAGTCGACTGTTTTTTTCTTTTAAATCACACTAATGCAAATTTGGGTCTCAGAAGGTAAAATAAGCTAATTTAAGGTGAAATATAAATGAATTCCTATTAATATAACATAATGAAATAAATTAGAGACCTTTTTGCCATGCACTGATTCCATTTAGGATAAAGGACATTGTTTAACGCTCCATGTTGCGCTCTCTCCGCCGGGACCATTTACTGCCCCACACTGCTCTGGCAGGTCCTCTGGCTCTCCTCTCAGCTGACAAGTCCTGGCAGCACCTGTCTGACCCAATTACATGTGATGGGGTCTGACCCACTAAGCTGGGTTAAATGGTTGCTGGCTGAACACTCTCTGACCTCTGTCACAACATCTGCTCTATGGAAATGATCTGCGATGCATCAGCCATCCAGTCGAGGAGTAGTTGTTGTTTTTCTTTCATTACACTTGCAATAGCATAACTTTCTTTAATATTTAGAAGAACACCGTCCTTTAGCTTTGAAATAAAGGTCCTACCTTAACTTTCCGCTAAAAGCACTGTTTGGTGCTAACCTATCCCTCACCTTGAGTGATGCTCTATCTCCAGCTTGCCCATCTTTGTGTTCGGTCTTTAAGCCTTTTAAAGGAAATCAAAGACCCCATTAACAGTGTCCTGAGACCGAATGACTTATTCTTTACTGAACTCTAACCTGGCCAGCACTCAAACTTGAGTGTTTGTGGCTCGATCTTGGAGACGTACAGCTTAATCACTGCTCTCGCTGAAATAAACTCTACAGAGATCAATGATGACAAGCTGATCACAATGAGACCGTTTCCAACATGACGGACTTTAAAAACCTTCAACAGAGACACAGTGAGAGTGAGAGGATGCGGAGAAAAAGAATAATGATCGAACGAGATCAAATAAAGAAATAAACCACAGAACGGATGTCGGGCTGAAAAAAACACAGATCATGACGAGTGTCTCCTCTCAGCCGGGCTGACATCTATATCTCCGTCTTTATCGACAACTTGCTTAACTAAAAGCTCTTCTGGCAGGGTGGAAGAGACTGATTGACTTCACACAGGAGAAGTGTGTGTGTGTGTGTGTGTGGGGGGGGGTATGGAGGGAGACACAGTGAGAAAACTAAAAGCACAACCCAAACAACCAGGAACAGACACATGATTAACATCATAATCTGTGTTCCAGGACACATCGTCATTTCTATGGCAAACATAAAGGTTTTGAATGTAAAAAGGTGATTATGATGCATGTTTAAAATAGAAAATTTACAGATACATCCTACTAGCTCTAAATAACGCATTGTTGTTGCTGATTGGATGATTCACTTCCTCCTTCATGGAGCAATTTTAAATGCCACATTAAAGATGAAATGAAACTAATAAATAGGAAGCTTTTGATTTTCTTTTTTAGTTCAGTCATCAGTGCACAGCTACTCTCACGCCTCATTTCACCACATTTATTAAGTGACTGGGCGCAGGTGGACATCTACTGAGACATGAATACACCAGTGCTGTGTACCACCATGCACATTATGCATATTTACTCCCTGGAAAAACAGGTTGGCATCACGGTTTTTCTCAGAGCTGATCAGCTGTAAATGATATTAATCAAATAGACTCCTAACACCCTGGCTTTATTTTGCTCTGCTTCTCTCCGTCTCGTCGACACCTCCCCCCTCACAAAGCTGATCCCCTCAGCTGGCTCTACGGCACCCGTGCCTCTCCTCTTTTTGCGGGAGGCCTCGTGAACAGGCACAGCCTGGGGCGATACACATCCCTCCGGTGGGCCTTTCATTATGGATGATTCTTCTGCCAAATTATTTAGGGCCTGAGACCGAGAAAAACCCCTGTCTTTAAAAAAATAACATGACAGAACAAACATGCATACATGCAGACAAACACACTCCAAAGTCCCTCTGCTCTCCTCTCCATTCCTCTCACTTTCCACCAACAAAAACATTAATTCCACCTGATCTTGTGAAGGTGTCTCTGCTGCTCATTAGTCCCTTTTAATGCTGGGCACTGATAAGGAAGTGAAGGCCCGGCCCTTGTGAATCACACAGGTTTACAGGAAGGAAGTGGAGGATGAGGAGATTATTCATCCCACTGTTGCTTCATGTGCCATAGAAGAGCCCGGCTGAGTGAAGCTTTTATATCACTGGTGTCATTAATAGGGAGTTATCCAAAAAAGTATTTGGAGTTCTACTGATTAAACGTGTGGTTTATTCAATACATTTGCAGTGTTCTCTTGTAAAAATAATTTCCTTAATGAGTCATTTAAAAGAAAAGCTATGATGCTCCTGTTCTGAGATGCAGAAGTTTGCTGGTGCAGAGTTGGGCTGGAAACAGCAGGATTACTCATCATTAATTGTATGCACACATCTTGCCTCTGATTGGCAAACAGAACGTGTTCAGCCATGTTGCAAAGTCACTATCATTAAGGCACTCCCCGCTCTCTCACCTCACTGCAAAAAAAAAAAAAAGCCTTTCTGTGGGCGGGTGCAAGCCAAGATGGGTGTGGCCATGCATGCAAATTCACAGTGTGACATAGATATGTGAGGATTTTCAAATCCCAGTGTATCACCGTCTATTTTCTATCAGAAACTAATGCAGGAGATAGGTGTAGGAGACTACTTCATGTTCACTCTGCATAAAAAAGACAGACTATAATCAGAAATAATAATTAAAAACATGTTTTTTCAATCAAACACACCTTCAATATTCATGATATGCAAACACCAAGCCTCTGATTACTTTTCTACTGGCTCCATTAAATCTTCCCTCTAGGGTAAAAACACAACAATCTCCACAAATAACAAGCCAGAATGCATCCCACCATGTTGTAGAGTCGTTAATGCTAACGGTTAGCTTCTACTAGCCTAGATGCTCTCTGCTCCGTCCTGGCAAGATGGGTGAGTCCATGAATGCAAATTTTAAAGAGTGACATAGAGCTGTCTCTTTTTTCTGAACTGAGCGTTGCCCCATTCATTTCCTTTCTGTAGATGCAGGAAATGGGGTGGATGACTATTTTCATGTTAAGTCTACTCATTTCAACAAAAACAGGTAAAAAAAAAATGTTTTCTCAGTGAATTTGCTTTTCAGCTACAGTTTTGCTGCCCGCCAATCAAATGATATGAACAGTCGTGTCACCGATGGGGCAGCTGTTTCAAACTACCTCCATCTCCTTTCAGATTTCTGCTCCCTCCCTTCTTTCCTTCACCCTCACTGCCCCTTTTATCATCTCTTCTTTGAGTTCCTTCTTCCACAACAAATCAATAACAACACCCAGGAAGACTCATGGCAATCCCTTCCATCAAAGTGTATCGGACAAAACAAGAAAACTTTAATTGAACGGTCAGGTCCAGAGATCCAGCCTCTTCACTAAAGCACTTTCCTTAGAAACTCACCCAGGCTAAAGAGGACCAGGAACTTGAGGCAGACAAACTCCCGTTGGTCCAGCTGCAGGGAGCGTAGTTTGGCTACCAGCTCTTGAGCGTGGCTCAACAGATTATTGAGGGTGGCTCCCGCCTGCGAGGCGATCACCGCAAAATCAACCTGGAAGGAGCAGGGAGAAAGAGAGAAGTTTGGACATGTTAACACTTTGGTGGTTATGCACCGTGGTTGTTTATGTGTAGACCCGTAAGAACTAACTCTGAGACTCCCACACAAAAACCCCAACAAAAATAAATAGCTCTAATTTTCTTAGGTCTAAGTCATCCATTCAAACGTGCACAAACACACACTTTTTCTCAAAGTGCACTTCAGATCTGCAGCCGCAGCACATTTGTCTGGGAGGCAAGTCCTTAGCTGCCACTCAGGGTAAGCAGGACCATATTAAAGTTTTATATTTATTGACGATTCATTATCATAATTGACTGAGCAGGGGTTTTCAGGGGAAGGTAGACGTTGGTGCGCGCAGCTCCTGAAGCTCAGAGAGGAAGGGAGTCCCTGCGAGCTCACATTTGCAATTAAAACCAGCCCCGGGGTGTGGAGTTTATTTATTGTGTAAATAAGATGACTAGTATCATTTTTCTATCCGACTGAACAGGCCAAAGCAAAGTAGATTATGACACTAGGTTTTCATCTTCTTTGACTTCTTTCTTTTACCTCGTGAGTCTTTGTCCCAACTTCTTTGTGCCTCCCGCTTCCCCGTCTTACCACCCGCTCGCCACGAAGAGTTATGGCTGTGGAAAGCAGACACGACCTGCCCCCGCCCAGGGTGTCAATCAATTTACATAAAATCAACTGTGCATGAAATAAGTTCATTGAAGGATTGGACTGTTGATGGCGCTGCCTTGGGTTATTACCTCCTCGCCTTAAGTGAAAAGAGAGAGGAAAAGATGCAATAATGTCACTATAGCCGACTTAGCACTAACTCTGACTTTGGTGACCTGTGCGTCAATCAATCAATCAATACTCTTTTATTACACCGTCTGAATGGAGCGATGTTGAGGGCAAATATGTGAATACACCGTCACATTTTAACATTAATATGATGAACAATCCCTCTAAAAGTGAAAAAAGGAGGGTGAGTTTATGTTTAGAGAGCTCTGAGACGTGTTGAGGATGCAGAAAGAAAAAAATGTACCTAGTTTGAAGGCACAAAGTATGTGACTGACAGAAAAGTGTGTTTTTTCCCCCCTCGCTGTGATTCGAATTTCATGTAGCCCACACCAGGATTCATGATAAAACTGACTGCCAAGCTTGGGGGCCTTGCTTAATCATTCAGGAGATCATTGCAGTCTTTGTCATTTGATGCTTGCCCACATTTGTACAAGATACACTGAGTGTTTGATCTTATGACAGGAAAAAGAACAAGCACTCATGGCCACTTCTCTCTGATGTTGGCGACACGACAACACTCGGCAGCAAGGAGGCAGAGAGAGCGAACGAAAGAAGAAAATATGAGAAAAGATGGGAATTAGCAAGCCGGGACTGACGTACGTAAGGACGAGAGAAAGAGCAAAGCAAAAGCAAATGACAGGTTGTAGCAGTTAATTTGCTGCTTCAAATGATTTCTTTTCAAACGCCTGTAGGAGTGTTGCGTGACTGGGAAAAGCAAAGTGGCAGCTTGTTTAAAAGAAAGAAAGAAAGACTTCTGAATAAAACCTCCGCCTCAGACTTGGGGATTTTTTTTAATACCATACTTGCATATCACCTTTTGTGCTCAATTATAATCTTAGATGTTCATTTAGCTGTCAAAATGACAATAATGAGCTTTATGTAGTAAAATCATTAACTAATTTTGCAGCAACTTTAACTGACAGTAGTGGGGACATGACAGATACTACAAATTTTACAGTTATTGAAACTCTTTCCACCAGACGTGAAAGCGGTCGCGTAACGTAATAGCGGCGTTTCACCTACGAGCTCATTCCCAACCGGGAGCGATTCTGACGCGAAACCGGAGTGAAAGCCTTCCACACAGCTGATCCCATAAGGTCACAAAATCACGGGAGAATTGCAACCATGTGGGATTTCAGAAGTCCACACTCAATAATAAGCAAGGAGAAAGGCAGCTGCATGTCTCGAAAAAGGCCTGTGTTTGTTTTCTGTTCTGTTTACATCAGCTGTGGGGATTTTAACAGGAAATTACATTTGTTTACCTGCATTTGACTTTTATTTTGAATGCTTCCAGATGTTTTACACTACTTTTGTGTCTGACTTCCTGTCTGGCTCGATCTAAACTGATGTGTTTTGGAAGCGTAGCACGTAAAAAATAGACTTGAAACGTAATGATAGCATACCTACGTTTTAGACGCGCCCCGTACCTTCTGGGGTGCGTCCAAAACGTTTACACTTGCTGCTGGTTTCGCGCCGCTTTTACGTGCAGTGGAAAGAAAGGGTGAATGTTGCATGTCTCTCACTGGGCTGCAACTGCTGGCGATAAACTGCATATGGCACTGACGAGGGTGTTGCTAAAATGTCTTAAAATGTTTACAAGGAATTTTTTTTTTCAGTTAGTTTGCAAGAGCGGAAGGAATTTTGAACTTGTTTACCAAATTTGCACTTTTTCCCAACAAAATTGTCACAAACCCCAGGAACATTATCTAAACCTCTCAATTTAGCTTAAAAAAGGGCAACAAATGAGACAACTTTGTGAGGGGGCGACAACGGGTCTGCAAATAAAACAAGGGGAAATTCCAAACTGAAAACATAATGAAGAGATTTTGTGACAATATTACAAGTAAATATGCACAGCAGCTGTGTAAATGTTGTTTTGCAATTACATCATATATCCCACTTAAATGTGCAATTTCCACGAATGAAATTAGAATGACATCCTGTGGTCATATCGGGTTACTGCAGCCCATTTTCCAAACAAACCAGTCACGTTCTCACCACCGTTCTGTAAGTCTAATGGCTGTTGCCAGCTATGGGTGAGAAGGAAATCTGTTTAAATGTAACTTTTCTTCCAACACGATTGAGACATTAGACTTTTTTGTGATTATTTCACAGTGAATTCTTACAGATTGTACCTTTAAGCCTGGTTCACATGGCAGGGTCATACCGTGTGTGGTGTGCAGCAAGTACCACACACTAGACATGAACCCCTTTCACTCACAGACATTCCCCACTCAGCATGTTTGTGGTCCCCAAAAATCTGACCAAGACAATCCAACATTCTTGACAGCTCACATTTATGATCGGAGTGGTCTCGATGTCCTTCTAAGCGACCTAGAACACTTGTAACACACCACACAAGGTAAGATTATCTGATAAGATTATCGGTAGAGCCATAACAATGGTCAGGCGTAATTTTAGGATTTTCGGAAGGGGCGGGTCTTGTCAAAAATTGAATTACAGCATTAGTGCCCAACCTGGTCCTCCAGGGCTCCCATCCTGCATATTTTAAATGTTTCTCTTCTTCTTTAACACACCTGACTTTAATGAGTGGGTGATTAACGGACTTCTGCAGAGCTAGATGAGTTGGTGACTCAACCACTGGATCAGGTGTGATGGTGCAGGGAAACAACTAAAAGATGATGGATAGGGTCTTCTACGAGCAGGGTTGGACACCACTGGACTTGGGCAAGACTTCTCTGAAAATGTGCATTTTTGTTATTTAGCAGCAGCCCAATCAGATACAAGCGGATTCTGTGTGCTTCCATCACATCAGGTTCAAAGACACAACATAGTGCTGTGGCAACAAAACAATCAGAGTTTATCACTTCAGCTGTTGGTAGTGATGTTATGGCTGCTGAAACTATTTTATCTTCTAAAAGAATTCCACCTGATGAAACTTTTCTAAACTTCCAACCTAAACATTTATTTTCGGCCTAAGATTCAACATTTTTGGAGCGTTTTCCTACTGGAGTTTTATGCTCCTCTGGTATATACACATTGTGTGGTGCACCAGCCACATGTACACATATAAAATGTTTTTATCTCCACAAGCAAATATGTCTGCGTCTCCATGTTGAATCTCGATCCTCAAGTTTTCTGAGCTATGTAAAAATCCACCTATAGAAAATCAATTGGCTTGCTAAGACTAAGTCCAACTCAGTCTTGACTCAGACCCTCCGCAGCTTCCCAGCACATCACAAACCAGTGTGGCCAGCATGCTGTGTTTATTCTTTGTGTGTGAGTGTGAGCGTTTGCTCAGGGTGATGCCGAGCTGCAGCGGACTAAACATCCCCGTTATTACTGCTGTGCTGTCACCCCTGGCCAGGCGGAGAATAATAGGAGATAATGAACTGTTTCAGAGCCTCACACACTGACGCACAACCACATGCATACATTTACACACACGCCTCAACACCAGCTGTTCATTAACCAAAGTATGCAAACGAAACCGCTGACCTGCACCTCCCCTGACTATCAGCCCCTCCTCCTCCTCCTCCTCCACAAACTGCCTTATCCACTTTGCCTCATCACCCTCTCTCCTCTCCCTCCTGAACTCCTTTCCTTCTACCTCTTTATACCTTATTCTATTTCTTTTCACCATCTTCTATTTACTGTCCTGTTTCTGCTTTTTTCTGCTTCAGCTTAAGGAACTCCCAAGAACAGCTTCTCATAACTCTCTATTTTGTCATTTAAAAAAACTGGTAACTCTGACAGTATAATAATAAAATTGATGCTAGTTCAGCCTCTCATAAGTGTGTCCCACTAGTGCTGCCTATATTTACCACAGGTAGAAACTAAAATGATTGTAAAATATATCCAGACTGTTTCTTTCAGTACCTACAATATTTATGCCAGTATGTCAGAAAATATTGTTAGAATTATTTAGAACTTCATGTGCAGCTGATTTTTTCACACTTTTGCTTTGAGATGTATTTCTATTCCAATGGGATTGTGGGAATTACTGATAAAAATGTGGTTTGGGTTTTCAGTTTTGTTTCCTAACATCATTAACTGATGCTGCATGTATAAACTCAGAACAGAAACCTACATTTAAAACAATGAGTATACAGTAATAGGGGATGCAACAATACCCTTTTTTCCAAACCGATACGACACCGATACTTGGATCTGACTACTCACCGATACCGATTACCGATACTTCTACCACACACACACACACACAAAAGCCATGATTTGGAATACAGATTTTATTTTCTTCTCTGCTTTCAACAGGAAAAGAATGTGAGGTAGATAAAAAGTTAAATATATTAATAGAAATCATCACAAAACTAAAATATTAGGTGAACAGAAATGACAAGTTACAGTGAAGCCATTTTCAAGCAACTGCATTGGTATCGGTTGACTTTTACCGACACAATACTGGAATCGGTATCGGCACAGATACGGTGCATCCCTAGTAATCATGTGTTTGAGCTACTAATGGGTACAAAGTGAAATGAAGTTACTATAACTACGACAAACCAGAACACAGAAATAGGAACTTTGCTCACAGAATTTGTATTTCTGAGTTGTATATACTTAAACAGTAGTAAACAGTAAGTACTTTGTACTTGTCTTAGTAGAAGGTAACTTGCATGTAACTGTATTTTACTTTGTACACATTAGTGGCTCCAACACCTAATTACCTACACTCGTGTGCTTATTATGTTAATTGCAATCGGTTTGATGCTTTTTTCAAGTAAAGTCAACCAATCAGATTTTACAGTGTAAATGTGCAAACCTGAACGGTTGGGTACTTGTGTTGTGGCCTCGGGTACTGAGTCCCATCAACAGAAAACACAGAAAAGACACTTAGCTGCATTTCTTTTTTGTCCACCCACACACACACACACACACACACACACACACACACACACACACACACACACACACACACACACACACACACACACACACACACACACACACACACACACACACACACACACACACACACGCGTTTTGCTCACACAGCTTGTGTCTCCTGAATGAAACTGGTTTATTGTGGTTATCAGAATGTTGGAGGAAGACTGAAACCGGACGTTTTCAGGATGGGTTTTCACTGACTCACCTGCTGGCCTGTGACCAACAGGATGGAGCCCTCTTTGGCGTACACCACCTGCCGGAAAACGTGGTCGAGGATAAGGAGTTCACTCCAGCAGTTCTGCAGTAGCTTCATCTGGTCATCCACCTGGTTTAGCAAAAAAAAAAATTATAATAATCATCAGGTCATTTGTTTGTCTTTCCTCTCCTCTCCAGCTGTAACAACAGTTCCTGTTCGTGTGACTGAACGTCACATCCACCGTAACAAACCTGTCATCGCTGCAGTGTGTTTGTCTGTCATTGTTTCTTTTTTATTGCGTCTCTTTAGAAGAGTTCAAGAGAACGGTTTCTAACTGATACATGATGAGTTGGCTCGGGCCAAAGCGACAAGGCTTTTTAAACAGACCAGACCGGTGAAAAGTTTTAATTGTTCATATTTGAAAACAGAAACATCTCTAAGATAAAAATGTGCCTTTAAAAAGAAAATTTAACTATTTTGATAAGTTTCTTTTCCCAAAGTATCAAATTTCTCACATTCATACATCACATACCCTGAATTTAAAAGCTAACCTTGAAGATTTATTATACCCAGATAAATATGCTGATGGAAAACAAAGTTTAAATTCAAAATAAAGACGGTCGAGGCCCTGCGTCTGTCGTAGCAGCTCGCAAATATCACACAATGCTGTTTGTGTAAACCTGCGCACAGGTCAATCACTATTGATCAGATGTGTTTTTGAAACCTTACACAAAGCTCAAAAGTCCCGCTTTCTCATGTGAACCTTTCCACAGTCAGTTAAGCACCCCCCTACATGCCAGATTTAACAAGTTGTATCTGTTTGCTCGATGCCAGGAGTTCCGGAGATGATAATGATTAAGTACCAAGAGTTTTTGTTTTTTCTCTCCAAATTCCAGCCACCAGCTCCCAGAAATGTGCCAGGTGAATGTGTGAAGCAGACACACAGGTGGAACAGCGGGGTTGCAAACCAAAACAACCCCCTCCATTGTAACAGGGTCTCTTCCCATGCCTGGTTGTGTTAATCATTACTCCACAACGCCAGACACAGACAGAAAAAAGCCACATTTAAGAGAGAGGAATGAGGAAACTGTAAGAGAGATTCTTTCTTTCTCGCTCCTTTATTAACAAACACGCTGCTCTTTGGTGCATTTTTGGGAATAACGTGGGCGTGCAGGGCGGTTTGTGGTGGTGTGTGAATGGCTTTCTGCTTTGAGTCTGTGAGAACGCTCTCGCCGCCAATGTCACCATTCACAGGGGGAGGAATGTGGATCAATGTTTCGGTTTTTAACACAGGCAGGTGCAGCATGAAAGGAATGTTTTTTTTTATTGAATATTTTTTGCTGCTGTCTAGAAATGTTATAAGAATCCGTCTGTTGAAATTAAATGACCTTAAGATCGGATTCAATGTCAACAATCGTAGTTCAGCCGACGAGTGTGAAACACCTTTTTTCCTCTTTGGATGTGTCCAAGTCTGATGTCTGTTTTTAGTTGACTGGGACTGTCGTGTCTTCTGATTTAGAGTTGATTTTAAACAAGGTCTATTTATCTTTCAGACAGACAATACAGCAGACAACACGAGCAGCTGCAGGATTCAAACTCTTTGACTGTTAAGCTGTAAATGTCTGACTATTTCGAGATCCAATTTAGGTCATTTTATAGCTTAATATATCAGAACAGCCTGTGGGAAGCATCTTTTTAGTTAGTTTTTTTATTAGTGCACTTTAGCTGTTGTATGCAACAATTTTTGTGTGAAAGATATAAGGTGTAAGTGCTTTAAAAGCCTGAAACCAGCTGTATTTTCATAAAAAAACAGTATCAATTTATTAAATAAATCTCAATACAAGAAATAAAGAAGAGTTCAGTTTTATTTGGCAAAAATTTTCCAATAAATAAACAAAGAAATATGTTTTATAGATTAGTGGATGAAGCATTTGCATTTCCTATCACTGATATATAAATCAGTGGCTTTTATTGATAGTTTAGAACATTTTGTTGTTGTTTCTGTTGGATTTCTTGATAAGTATTAAAATGACATAATATTTCACACTTATCCAACACTTGCTCAAATTTGTTACTTTAAAGTTCAAATAAACATGAACATTTAAAAAATAAAGAGCAAAAGTTTTATAATTCCTCTATTGTCCTCAAAGTCTTTTATCATTTCAGTTAAAGAACAAAAGTCAGGGAATGAAAGAATGAAGCTGCTGTGACCTTTCCCAACATATCCAACTGATTGATGGAGTTTCTTGTCAACCCTCTCTATATCTCTCTCTCTGTGTGTGTGTGTGTGTGTGTGTGTGTGTGTGTGTGTGTGTGTGTGTGTGCGCGCGCGTGTGTGTTTCAACTTTGATTTGGTCTTGAGCACAAGACCAAAGCAAAATTCAAATACCTTCATTAACTTCATCAGAGAGCACAAAAGGCGACAAATGCAAGAGTTTTCTATACTCTGAAGCTCATCCACTCCTTTCCATCTAAAAACATTGGAAGCACACATGATGTGTGTGTGTGTGCAGATAGATGGGTAAATGTAAAGCACAAGCTCTTCAAAAGACTCCCCTGCATGTCATTGGTGCTGGCAAGTGTCGGGGTCCTCATCAAAGGCCTGTCCTGACTGTGCCTGCCTGGAAGCTCCTCTCTGACAAGAAGCTTGGGTCATCAAAGAATAAAGAACTCAGTGTGGATGAGGACGGGTGACAGCAACCTAGATGAGGGCAGGGGACATGAGCTTTGGAAGAGGGGGACTGGTGACAGACAGACAGACAGGCATGAGGGCAGACCAGGGGTTGGGGTTCAGTTTGCTGACCTTTTAAGTACCAGCGTCGCAAGCTGTTTCCCTGACAAGCTCTTCCTTTGCTCTGTCAAATAACAAACAGTCATGGAGCCTGATCCTACCAGATATGCCACCCGCTTGCTAAGATAACATGAGCTATCTGACATGAAATTATAATTATTATCCATTTTTCAGCAAAATGAAAGATTTAAGATCATTTTCAGAGATATGATGTTGCAAAATATAGAAAGGCAATTTTCCAGAAACGTATAAAACCAATAAATCTGGTGATCTATAGCCCCTTGCCAAAGATCATGTTGCTCTCACTGCAAACTTGCAATCCAAACAAATATCTATAAGGATGTGTTGTAGGCTGATAGTCAATAGCACTGCGGTGCAGGAGAGTAGACAGTGTCAGGGATCAAGTGTCTGGATATTCCCGGGACATCCTGGAATGTGAGTTGGGCAACATTATTCAATGTTGTTTTCCTCTTGTCCAAAAAGGGTGTTAGCGTTAGCTCAGACTAGCATTAGCGGTAGGTCAGGCTAGCATTAGAAGTAAGTCAGGCTAGCAGTAGGTCAGGTTAGTGTTGTTCTGTGGTTAGCGTTATAGTGACCAGCGTTTATTGCTGACGCTGAAGAAGGTTAGAGTATGAGAATTTAAGGTGGCATGTCTTGATGACGTGTTAAACCAGCTTTTCCCAGAACCAACCATTTCTCAACCACTATTACAACATTAGTGATGTCCCGATACAACTTTTTTCACTTCCGATATGATACCGATTTTGCAGCCTTCGGTATTGACCGATGCCGATATCAATCCGATATGATATCAGCATAAATCATACATACTGTTACCTATTTCAAAGTGTAAAATGTATAAAAGGCTTGCTCAAGTGATGTTACTCAAACAGAAAACAAGAGCCAGCAACAGTAAGCATGAAAACGGACCAATTTTTTATTAACCTTTGGTCAATATTGTTTATTGACCAACTGCTACAAGTTGAATGTCTAAAGTTAAAAGTTTACAAACTGCAAAAATCCTCATGCAATATTTTGTGATCTTGCTTCAAATGCACAATGAGGTTGGACATAGTAATCTTCCCCGGTTCCGTTCTACCACAGTAAACTTGTGCATAAGTGCTGCACTGAGCCTAACTGTCTTTTTCAGACTTGAACGAAAAATACAACCACATGGCCAACATTGTTCCTTGCTACTTTGCTAGCACACACTGTTCCGATCACGTGGACTTTGCATGCTGGATTTGAGCGCTTCTGGATAGAATTGCTGGAATGGAATTTAGAGCGGAACATACTGCTGATATCAGAGATTTTTGATGCAATACAATATGATCTGATGCAGTGTTTTTGTGCCAATATCCGATATCATTATCGGAACGAGACATCCCCTCTTTTAAATTGGTGAAAGAACCACCTGCTGATGAAATTATGCCAAAAAGACAGGGAATATTTTTGCGTTTAAGATATTTATAGAATAACAAACAGACAAAGTTGCCATATTCTGCCTAAAGAGTGGCCATTTGTTTAAACCCCAGTTCTCCACCTGTCCTTGAACAAAACAAAATACAAGCTGCTAAAGCAATGTTCACCCCTCAACCACCCCAACAAACCACTTTTCAAGATCAACAATCTGCTTAATATTGTCACCAGATTAATTTTAATTTGTTAATTTTTGTTTAATGAAAAAGAAAAGAAACTCAGAGAAATTCCATGTGGAAACTTTTACGTTCAGCGGCCAGAGATGAAAAATGCATATCCTCCAAGAAACAAATTTAACACCTTTATGATCGTTCAGGCGAGTGGGAGCAATGCCTGGATCAATCGCTTAGCCCATAGCTTTTGTTCAAAACTGCTGGCTGAGATTAATGGGATTTTCCAGAGAGAGAGGTAAAATAAAAAATATATATAAAAAGGAGGGGAGCCCAGTCCGGGGGGGTCAAAGTGCCAAACGGTGAATGAAAAAAGACTTGAGGAAAATTGAGAAAATACAACATAGTGATTAAGAGCACATATTCCCTTCATACTGGTGCAAATGTCAACTAATTGGAAATAGAGCATTCAGATGAAAAAAGTAATGTTTATTCATAGCCCCCTGCTACGAGTACATCAATTATGATGGCGTGTTGAGTCAAAGCAGGCCAATGCACTAGAATACCCCCCCCCCCCCCCCCCCCCCCCCCCCCCATAGAAGGGATTTTGGTCCGGTGCCACAAGCATTGTTAAGCTCCGTACGGTATGGTGGGCTTTAACAAGAATACACAGCTGGATCTGATTTTAATAAGTAGTTCCATTTTTGATGTAGCCTAATGAACAGATTAATGGAATCTCCTTCTGTGGA